TTTGAAGGCATGGAAAGTTTCATATTCCTCTCTGTAACCCAATGCCTGGCCTATAATATGTGTCCTGCAAATATTTGTTCCATTAATAAGTGAATGAGTTGGAGGTGTTAATGCCCTTGTAGGGCCTGGACTAAGAATTACCACTTAGCTGAGCCTTTATTTTCCCGACAGTTCCTACAGGTGGGAACGCATTTGGTGAACACCCTCACATCTGACCTGTAAGGTAGATGTGAGTTCCAGAAGATCCTTTTTTCTACTTTATTTTTTGAACACATGTAGAAGAGTTCATTGAACTCACTGATTAATGAGGGAACCAGTAAGATGTTACAACCCGTTCCAAGGAGAATTCAAAGCACTTTTTTCCACTTTAAAAATTGCTTCATTCTGTGGACTTCTAGCCCTGTATTGCTGATGGCCAACAAAACCTCATCCCTCAGGCATCTGGTTTCCAGCAGGAAGGACTGGATCGACAGCCTTCTTTCCTCCATGACTCTGTTTCACTAAGGGGCTTTAAAAACTTTAAGGAATGGAAATAGCCCAGGTACTTGATGGGATCACCAGACCAATGAACCAACCCCAAAATCTGGTCTTCCTTTAATAAATGTCTACTTCTTGGCAGGGGGGGAGTATAGCAAATCTTTTGATGACCTGTCCTTTTAAAAGCAAGGCTGAATGTGTTTTGATGACCTGCCACAGAGGGTTATATTTGGACAAATCAAAATGATGAGAGGAAGCCTGGGCTCTAGCAGCTGATTAATGGTTAATAAGGTAGCCCTTATTCAGTGCTCACTAGGAGCCAGAGCTTTATAAGCATCAGCTTATGTAATCCTTGCATCCACCCTGTGAGGTAGACACTCTTACCACTATCACTTTACATCTGTGAAAACTGAGACACAGAGACCTGAAATGATTTAAGGTCACATAGGTAGTAAGTGGAGAGGGCAAGATTCCAATCTAAATAGTCTGACACTAGAGTCTGTGTTCTCAAGCACTACACTTTACTAATATTTGAGGCTGGATAAATGAGTTAAGGGAGTGGAAAGCATTGCAAGTTGCAGGGCTATGTGCTGGATCAGGATCCCTGTTCTTGCCAATGGGTTTCAGCCCAGGGCAAGTTCACTATGGATTCAATGTGACCAAAGAAATTGACAGTAAAACGTTCTTGGGGTGAAAGGGTCATACCAAACTTTATTCCCATGGTGGCAGGTCAGTCACTAGAATCCCATCCACTCAGAGCGAGTCTGCATGCAGCAAGCCGGTCTCTGCCTCTGGGCCCCTCTGTCCACACAGCCGTCCTCTGGGCCTCTCTGCACAGTCGTCCTGCACAGCCATCCTCTGGGCCTCTGTCCTTGGTGCTGCCACCACTCCAGCCTCTGCTTTGCTCTCCTGAAGCCTTGCAGCCATGCCGTGTCACCCAGACAACTGGGCAGAGCTCTTTATATAGAGTCAATAGCAACGTATTGCCCACACGTGTGCAGTGAGCAAGCCAACCAGGGCCAGGTGAGAATCCTGGCCACAGGAACCTTCATTTTATCCACAATCCCCAAATCTGATTTTATTTCCAGCTGGGATATGGATGTCAACTCTTTCCATGATCACCTGAACAGCTGGGAGTGGAAGGTGAATGAACTGCAGACATGCTTCTTGGACTCCTAAGACTTCTTGGACTTCTAAGGACTACTCTTGCCCAACCTAAAGGCAGCCTGCCTCAGACCCATCTGCTCCAAACTTGTGTGGGTGAGGCAGAAGCTTCTTCCAGGCAGCAGGTTGTATGGGAGAAAACCTCCTTGACTGGAGAATCAGTCTAATGAAGAAAGGTGCAGGCAGGGGAAGTCAGAGAGAGAACAGTCCCTGTAGGTGCCTTTCCAAATAGCCTGCAGCTGCTTTCAAAAAATTCTTTGTTCTTCCCAATGAACACTCCACCGAGACACCCCAGCCCCCATCTGAATGCTCATGGGGTAAGGAGGGGCGACTGGAAGCACCCTCTAAAGTGTAGAGTGTGCATCAAATATCAGGCTCTATGTTGGTCACTACCTCCTGGAGAACAATACCAGCCAAAAGCAGGAAGCTGGCCTAGATGATTTTTGAAGGCCTCTTCCAGCTCTGGAATGGGACTCTAGAACTATGAGGCTGCAGAATGAGAGTTTTCTTACTCATTTTACCTTTCGAAATCTCTAAATCTATACTTATTTTTTTTTCGGTGGCACAAGAATACTCAAAGCAGCCACAGGAAAGTGGGTAGGGGAAGAGTAAGCTGGGCAAGCTGTGTTGGCAGTGGTGGGGCCCCTGAGCTGGGAGTGGCTGTGGAGAGAGGGCCCCATGGAGGATGGCTCCAAGACAGAGCATGGCAAGTCTTCAGGGGACTAGAATAGCGGTGTGGCTCCCCAGCTACAGGGCCCTTCAACCAGTTGCTTTATTTTTCTGAGCCACAGTGTCATCCTCTCTGAAAGATGGGTCTTAATAGCAACTACCTCAAGACTGAGTAAGGTAACGCTTACTGCAACGCCCAGCACATAGTTCACATTCAACAAGTGGGAGCTGCTCTTGCTGCTGTTTTGCTGTCATTACTGGAAGTTCCTCCACTGGATATCCAGAAGTTGAGTTGTCCTGGCTCTGCAACACTGCATGATGAGCAGCTCATAGCAGCAGTTACGAGTGTGGGCTGGAGTCAGACTGCCCAGGTTTTCATCTATATGGCCACAAGCAAGTAACATAAGCAGGCTGGGCTGCTGTTAACTGGCCTCTGATGTGGGAGTAGAGATCTGCTTCACAGATTATAGTAAGGATCTCATCAGAAGCTCAATGTTAAAAACCCTAGAAAATTGCTGGCCTGCAGTGAACACTCAGTGGGCACTAGCTGTCTTTGGATGTGTGAGGGCCTAAGAACATGACTCATATTTACTGAAGACATGACTGCAGTCTTGATTTGAGCTTACCTGGTATCCCTAATAGGGATGAAGGACCAAATCCTGTCACTTTGAGAAGAGGCTTTATGAAGTTCTGCCCAGAAGGATGTGAAAAGGTAGCCATTTCAGTTGTCATAATTAGCCATTCCCCCAACCCTTCACTACCTCCTGCCACCCTTCCCTCCAACTGGAACTCATTCCTGCAGATGGCTTAAACAGAGGCTTAACTCCATTTGTGGACATAATGCTCCCCCAACCGAAGCCATCATCCTTTTATGGAAGTGCTCATTAGGACTTGCAGGAGGAGCATGCAGTCCTGAGGATGTGGGTGCATGCTAGGAGTGGCAACAGGCATCCTGGTGGACCAAAAGGATGGTGACCTCCCCTGTTCTCAAGGCTGTGTTGGATATTCCCGTGACACACCTCTAAAATTCAAGAGAAGCAAGATTTGTATAGCAAAACTGGACTTAAGGTACCTTAAGTGGGCTATTCCAGAAGTTAATTTTCTTGCACTTGTAGCATCCAAACATTGTTGATACTGACTTACTGCAAGGTAGGCAGCGTTCTGCGGGGAAGTGTAGGGAGCAGCACTTCAGTAAGTGGAGAAAGGGGCTTTTCAGGGCTTTCTAATGCAAGAGTGACATTTGTTAATACGTATTTACCGATGGCTGGTCCACATGAGCATAGGTTGAAATGGGAAAATCAGTAACAGAAATTGAAAAGTTTGGGAGAAAGAGATCTAGGGGCAGGGCCCCTTGGGGCCTGCACTTTTCTGCCTTGACCAGGGCATGCCTGTATATTAGGCTGAGGAAAGACAAGTCTGGCTGGAAAGGTTCTACATCACCTGGAAGCAGCCAATATGGGGAGTATTGGCCACAGCCCCTTCCCATCCCACCTCAGCCCCTCCTGGGAGTGAAGAAATCATAGAGCATAAGGGAAGGGAAAGTTTAAACATCTGGGAGCTTGTGGGTCTAGGGCATTTTTCCTTCCCTTCTCTTGGTCCTATCTCACTTTCAGAGTGGGAATTCATCGTTGGCCCTGGAGGACCCAAAGGAGCCAGGGTGGATCCCAGAGGAAAGGAAGCAGAAAGTGCTGGCTTTGGCTTTGCTTAAGGCCTGTGGACAACTGCAAACAAGACCTTTCTAGATGATCCAATCCAGTTCTCAAGGGACAGTTATGCAGGCATTCTGGGCAAGACTACCTTGGAGAGAGTATCATGCCTTTGGCCTCGGTGTGCTCTATGGGAACCCTGAGAGTGGCACACTGGGCACAGCAGGGCAAAGCCCAACAGAGCCGAACATTCCCTCTGGGAATTAGTTGGGTCAGGCATTCTATTTTCTCAATTGCCCAAAAGATCCTATTACCAAGAAGAAGGTCAAGCCCAAATGTAACTTTCTACCATTGCATTTTAGTAGTTGTCTCACTCCTTAGGTCTGGTCTGGTCTTCTGTGGTTGAAACAAGAACTTGCATGAAGTCATCAGTGGCAGAGACTAAAATCAGTAAAGGAGATGAGACGCTGCTGAAGCTCTCCTGCTGCAGTCAGCTCAGTCAGTATCACTCTTTGCCCCAATTTTACCAATTTTCCTGTCAAAAGGTTCATGCTTTCAGCCTTAGATTTAGCCTGTTATTGAGTCTACTATTCATTTAAATGAAATGAAAACATGTAATTTGCTTTACTGAATGTTTTATAATACCAAAGAAAACAGAGTAAGTAGGTAGTGTGTGCTGCTGTAAGCAAACCCAATATATGAATGGATTTTACAAATAAACTAGGGGTGGATTATTGGCAGAATGCTTCAACACAATTCTTTAAATAACAAACTTCCCTGGTGCATTTTTAAAAACAATTTATGGCTATCAGAACACATCAGTCATATTGATCAGTTCACACCTCACATCGAAGAACTTACTGTCTGAGTGCAGGTCTATGCCTTTGGAAGATCTTCCGGTCAAATGTATTACAACCAAAAGAAACAAGAATAAAATACATGTTCTGACAGCTTTCCTTTCTATTTAGCTTCCAACAAAATGATACTGAAGTTATTTGGGTAATTCTTGCCTTCTGAGTAGAGTTTTGTTAGATACAAAGTGAGGCAATAGGAAACATTTTTTAATGAACACACAGCTCTCACAGATATTATGATCACACTGTTATTACAACATAGATGAGCTGAAACTTTTTGTACAGATTTGGAGGAAAGAAAACCCTAAAGAGAAATCAAGCATATAGAGGTAGTTGAATAGCAATATGGGAAAATAAAAAGCATTATCTTAATTCCCCTTTCAGTTCATTACGACGTAAGAGTAAAATGGCTGCTTAACAAACAACTAGGATAACAAACACACAGACATATTTGCCACTGTTTAAATGGTTTGCATGGTATTTTAATCCTGGCTCTACTGAGGACTGCATAAAATGATGGAACTAGTTTATCTAAGATAAGCCTATGATGCCACATTGACCTATTTGCTCTTTTATTTTGTTGTTGCTGTGACAATAGGTAAATGTTGAGCCACTTTTTAAATGATGCATAAGCTACAGTGTTGTTTTGTAAACTTCTGTTAATCACATTTGCTGCAACAAATTTTTAAAGGGCTACAGAGTCATGAAGCAAAAGTTTTACAGTGACACCAGGAATAGAGATTACAGGCACTTCTCTCTCAAGGTTAATTTAGCGCATTTGAATACCCATTTGTAAGTGAAAATGTCTTCATTTCACTTAGGAAAGTAGTGAAACAGCAGGAGCTGTCACTCTACGAGGAACGAATGTATACATTTCACATGGTTCTTTCTCTCTGTGCTCAGGAAGGGCCACAAATTGCAGCCCAGGCAATCAGCTGCTTTTCAGAACTGTCTCAATCATAAATCAAAACCTCACTCCACAAGCCCAAGAATGGGCTGAAAACAATCTGTCCTCTTCCATTACTTGGGCTGTCTTCCATTTGCATCTTTGTTACACACCTCTGCTATAATTCTGCCTTGGTAAATGGAAATGGATGCAAAGTCAACATGTTGGGAACTCAAGGAATGAGTCCCTGAATAAAATTCCTATCTTGGAAATGGAATTCACATCGGGGAACAGGGTCCCCAGTGGATTCCAGTCCATCAACAGTATGCAGTCTGTTGACAGTAAGAAACCTCCAGGTGCTGTGAACCAGCCTCAGGAGCTCCACTGCTCCAAAAGCCAGCCACAGGGGATTATCTGAGCCCAGGCCAGCTCCACAGGCAGAGCTGGAAGCGCCATATGCGCAGTGACTCAACTAGCCCCATGGCTAGAAGCAGTTGGCCTTCAGAAAAGGCAAATTGTTGCAATAGCTCTCTGCACCCCTAAATCAGGGGCAGGCACTCTTTTCTCCACATGTCTACAGAAAATTAGTTTTATTGATTTTAATTTTCTACATTTTTCTGGTTATTAGCTAGCAGCAGCAGTACAGTACAAAGCAGAAAGGCATAATGTCTGCTTGGTACCTAATATATACACACACACATACATACGCACACACACTATGTACATACATACACATATACACACATGCATATACACCCATGCACACACATATACATACATGCACATAACATATACATACACGTGTGTGCATGTGTGCACCCAGATATACATACACACACATACATGCACATATACATGCATGCATACACATACACAGACATATATATATACATATATACATATATACACACACACACACAGACATAATCTACTAGGTAAAGACTAGGTCATGATAGACGAGAAAACTAATCAAATGAATAGCACTATCTACCAAGGGGGAGGACTTGTAATTCTGGCCTAGATTTAGCTTTACATCTTTTCTCTGTACAACTCTTCACTCCCAAGTTTTGCAGCAAAATCAATTTATATGTGGTGAAAATGGTCAAGTCCACTGGTTGCCCCATTCAAAGGCAAGGCTTTGCATCTTGCCTCCTACCACTACTGAAACAAAAGCTTGCTGTAGAACAACGTAACGTGTATGTAGGCTACTCAGAGTAAAGTGCAATTTTGCCTAGCCAAGACCTACACTTGCTGGAATCAATTAGCTACTCAGTTTTCAACGTGAAGTGTTCTTTGACGTGGAATTTTATTTTAAAGAATTAAACTTTCCTTTCTACCTAGATTAAGTAGAGATGTCGTTAGGTAAGTTCATTTCACTTAACTTGCAACTTTCCAATGTGAGCTTCTGGGGGTGCTTTTGTGACTTGACTGCCGTGCTTATTTAGTAAAATTTGTGTAACAAATACTTTTAAAAGTGTTAAAAATCTGTGAAGGAAATGGGTTCAAAATCAAGCTTGGCTATTTACTGGCTGATTGTGTTACGAGGACAAAGTATGTAACATTGTGGAGCTTGTGGAGCCTACGCCTTTGCAACCCTAACATGGGAACTCTGTTATGACCACATGATGGGCCACCAAGTGGGAGGAGGAGCCTTGAATTTTTTTCCTCCCTTGGCCTTGTAGCTTCCTTGACCAGTAACCACACCTATACTTCGATTCCATTCTTGAGTGGCCCAGTCTGGCTCCAAACATCAAACCTGGAAACACATAATTGTATGACAATATAGGATTCATTAAGAAAGTGCAGAAAAGATCATTTTGTTCCTGCTTACGAATCTCTTTTATGTTGCCTGAGTCATTTTCTCTCTGTTTCTGGCCACAGGTGGTGATGGGAGGAATCAGACTGATTGAGGCATTAACCTCTCACCCTAACAGAGTGGCTGGGCTGCAAGTGGAAAACGCACTGCAGCTGTCCACAATTACATGGGGGAATAATTTGCGTGAAGGTTCAATGGCACCATTCATACCCTCCTGCCCCAATACTTTCACTCTGTTACTATAACACTCCTAATATACTTTTTCTCGGGGGTGAGGGGGGTGGGGAGTGGCATTAAAGGAATCACACTAGCACTAAACAAGCTAAACAGGGACTCACTCTTCCTTCCTGACCTGCTATTCTTCCCCTATACTGAAATCTTGGGCCCACTAAAACTAGGAGGAAAGGCAGTGTTTAGATGAAATCATGGATTGTCTGTTTCCTTTGAAAAGGTTTAAAAACCAAAATGATTGTTTTTTAAAAGGATTCTGTCTTTTCTACTAGATTGTTTACACTTATGATGAGGCGCATTTCTTCACCAAGTGTTTCAGCACATGCTAGCCGGGTCATGATCCTCAGCACCTGAGAAGCGGTGGGGTATGGAAGCTAGGTGGGCATGGCTGTGATATGCCAAACTGAACACCATTCCCTCTGAAGCGTTAAATATGATCCTGCCTAAAAGTCCCATTCGTCAGTGCACTGGGTGAGAAATTAAAGAGACTAATAATTCGATTGCTGAAATAAATGCCTATGCTAGATTACAATAAAAGACACTCTCCCGATTCATCTCTTCATTCCAGAAAAATAATTCCTTCAGCTTTGCTCTGTATAACAGAGAGAAAATAGATTGCTTTACTTTACCCTGGCTTATTCCATAATGTATGCCAAATCCCTTAAGTCTTTAATATTGTTGAATTCAAACTGAAAACAAAATGGAATCTGTGGAGATAGATGATCCAAGCATGATTCTGAACTTCTTTAAGCATCCAACTAGATAGATACAAAAATGGTTCAAAAACTGGGATCAAATGCAGTAAAAAAAGAAATGGTTAAAGTAAAAATGGCACATTTCTAGTATTGTTACTTCCCCCTAGGCACATGGTAAACCACATCAATAAATAAAGCAAGTGACTTTTCAGTAATATACACTTAAATAGTTATAAACACACTCATAGAAAAAAAGGATACAGTAGTGCAAAAAAATAAATTATTAGAACACAAAGAAGTATGAACATTATTATACACAACACTATATAAACACCTGAACCACTTGGAATGAGATCTCAAGTCAGTGTAATAATGCAGCAACATTATTAGTATCTTTGCTTCACATTTCAAGCACACAATCATTTATCTACAAAAGAAAATTAAAGCAAAACCACTTTAAATGGTCAGAAAATTTTATGTCAAAATCAAACTAATTTTTGTTTTTTCTGGGCTCTTAAACACCTGCTGTGCATGTAGTTGTGCAGCATGTCCAGAAGCATCTTAAGGCAGAAAGTTTCAAACAAGATGCCATTCTTTTAGCCTTTCTACTCCCTTTCTCTCTGCAATCAGCAGTAAGGTAATACCTCTGTTTGCTACTTCCTGCTGTAAGATGTTATTGCAATTAGATATATTTACAAGACACCTCCCCTGAGGGCAGCAGGGAGGGTGGGAGCTCCTCTTCAGCAATCCACTCTCACTAGTTTTGGTTTCGGGATATAAAGGCCAGAACTCGTCGAATACCGTTCAGTCTATCCTTTAAGGACCTCATTGCTAGGAATGGGAGCTGAGCTCGGCTTTCCAATGGGAGAACTGCTAATGTCCACCAGCACCAGGCTGGACCATTCGGGTTCATCTGTAACACAGAAAGACAATGGTTTATCCCATTCCCACGGAGGGGATACCAGTCTGCCGGCGTCCAAAGCTACACCGTAAACATTCCAGGTGAACTGCTGCTTTGTATGGCACACTGCTAATTACTCCCACAGCTATTTCCCCCTGATCTTAGCTGGGCATATAACCACCCAGGAAAAAAAAAAGACTATATTTCTCAGTCTCCCCTTCAGCTAGATAAGGCCATAGACAAAGTTCTGGCTAGTGAGATGTAAAGGGGAGGGATATGTGTAACTTCTGGGTGATGTCCTGGGAAAAGGACACGTGCCCTTGGCTTTCCTCTTTCTGCCCCTTTCCCCTAACTAGAACGCAAGACGTGGTGATGGTCAGCCTTTCTCTTCCTGGAGGACAAGGGCAACATTCTAAGGATGATAGAGCTTTGTGATGAAGGAATGACCTCACGGAATAGAATTCCCCAGCCCTACAGGACTTATGCCCTCTATCTTGTTTAACCTACAGTTATATTTGGTAGTTGTTAAAGCAAACAAACTGCTATCCTACCAGATATACTCTACTTCCTAGCCAGTGTGATTTCATGAGCTGGAATATCCACTGCTCAGTCTCTTCCACTTCTGAGATTCTGTTTAGATCGTTTGGACTGATGCATACAACATGTGGGCCTTCAATTACCAAGAACCCTTTAGGCTTTGCATGTCTCTTAACTCTCTTCATTCCCCTGCTTCTAGCTGAAGGCAATGTAGTCCACATATGTCATGTCAGCATATAAGGCCACAGCTAGCTTCTCCCCTGAAACCAAAGCCTATGACTCACAGCCCCAAAGCACAGAAACCCTGCTTTGCAAAACTCCTATTAGAAAACACATTCACATTAGAAATGTGTACTGTCCCCAGGTTTCCTTTTAATAGAGTGTTCCCATCCCACATAAATCCTTCACCACAATTCTCTTTGTCAGCAGCTTCCCAGGTACACATTTTAGACATTGGTGACTTACTTCCTACTAAGCCAGAAATGAGCTTGCCGCCCACCACTTTCAGAAGGTTGGTTTTAGGACTGCAGAGAACCACATTCTGGTCAAACCACCTGCACATGGGATTATGTGTCTCCAAACTGGTTCAACTGATTTCTCCCCAACCTCACTATCCTCTGCTTCTCTGTGCCTCTAGCTTTGTTTGGATCCTTTTTTGGCCCTTGCTGCAGGCTGTAACAGACTATCCCTCCTGTTACCAGTCCTGAATATTAGATTGACATATTCTGCACTGTCTTTCTCAGGATTAACAAAGATATTTAAGCTGATGTTAATACTGTGGCTGTTTTTCAGAAACCTACTCCTGAGGCTTAGGGCAGTCTTATTAAAGGCACCACTGGGGCTGCAGCACTGACTCAATGAAACTGGATGGGATTTCTTTTTCCTGCTGCCATCAAAACAACCTAACAGTCCTAAAAAGAAAAGAAAAGAAAACCAAGATTCCAGCTTTCTGTGTCATTGAGCCCTTATGAATCACCATGGCATCTGTGTTTTTGCTTGTGGAAGATGCTGTTACCATTGCTGGTCACTATCTTCTGCCTGAGTGGAGGCGAATGCTTTCCAGAAGGGGACGGGAACATTAAGCTTGATCATGAGCTTGCGCAGAGCTGAGCTGTAGTCCTGTGTCACAGTGGCCCAGAGCCAGGAGCTGGGTCACAGGAAAGTGCTAGGCGACCCTTCTCCCTTCAATATTTACGACACATTTGCATGGGGGAAAGGAGCACCTTTGTGGCCTGGAGAAAGCAAGATACTTCAGTCCATTAGGCAACAGACTGGTGCTTTACAGCCTCAGAATACAAGGCAAAGATGAGACTTTAGAGACCTCCTCATCTACCTCCCTCATTTCAGAGATGAGAGAAAAGTTGAAAGGGCGGAAGGGACTTACCCAAGGTCACACAGCTAGAGAGGTTAAGCATGACCAGTCTTTGGCAGGGAAGTCAGAATATATGCATTCTATTTTACTGTGTTGACACAGTCAGGGATGAGTGTAAAGAATTAAGGAAGATAGGGAAGTGATAATGTCAGACAACCAGCTCAGAATGTGGGGAAGGTGATGGTGGGCAAATATTTGACTAGGATATCTACAGCCTTGTCCTAGAAGGAAAGGATCCTCCTACTTATACCAGGCAAGCAAAGCTTGGTAAAACTTAATTTCCACTCTCCCAGAGGGCTTCTGTCTCCCCAGGGAAATAGACTGAGCCACTAGAACCTAATGAGCTGCTTTCAAGAATAGCTCAGCCAAGTACCAAATGATTTCACTCATATGTGGAGTATAAGAACAAAGGAAAACTGAAGGAACAAAACAGCAGCAGAAGCACAGAACCCAAGAATGGACTAACAGTTACCAAAGGGAAAGGGACTGGGGACGATGGGTGGGAAGGGAGGGATAAGGGCGGGGAAAAAGAAAGGGGGCATTATGATTATCATGTATAATTAGCATGTAGGGGGGCATGGGGAGGGCTGTGCAACACAGAGAAGACAAGTAGTGATTCTACAACATTTTACTACGCTGATGGACAGTGACTGTGAAGGGGTATGTGGGGGGGACTTGGTGAAGGGGGGAGCCTAGTAAATATAATGTTCTTCATGTAATTGTAGATTAATGATAACAAAATTTAAATAAATAAGAATAGCTCAGCCAACAGTAAATTTAAAGATTGGGACAGTTTTCTCAGGACCTGCTTGCCCCTGCTAAGGACAATGACAAGGGGCTAGAACTGCAGGGCTAAACATGGAGGAACATAGCTTTGAAGTTTCTATGGTGTTGCAGCTGGAATCCTATAAGGTAGCTGGCCCTATCTCCTAGCTCCTGCAGCAGTGGGGGCAAAGGGTCATGAAGCTCCCTGCAAGTGGCTACCTTTGGTCTCACCTCCCAGGATACTCTTCTCTTAGGCCTGACCTTTGTGTGAATCTTGTCACCCTATCACATTATCATGGTATGAATCTGGACTCCCAGTGAAGGTTCGTCTGTGGACAGTGTCTCTGTTCCCATACTCTCACCTGACTTCTCTTGAAAAACCTGTCTTGGATCCCAGTTCTCACTGCTTTACTTTAGTTACTCCAGTTCTGCCTTGGGATCCTTTTGGTCTTACCCATGATGCCCACTGCCCAGCCAAACAATACCAAATTGGATCCATCTTCCTCTCTGCACTTTATTTGCTGGATGGCAACGATGCACCCATCCAATCACTAACCCTAAGCTCTCTTACTTGCAGGGAGTGGGGGGGCAAAACTGTTACAAAAAGACATTTCTATATACCTGGGGATCAGCATCTTTCTCTGGCATTGGACCAAAGTGGTTGAGAATCCGATTCTTCAGAGACGGTTTGAGCGAGTGAAACCATGATGATGCCTGCTCATAGACACAGTTATGTAATCCCATGAGCTCAGCACAATCCTCTCCTTGAACCTGAAAGCACCAAAGTGGAAGTGAAGCATTCTGTACCTCCTCCATCACTCCTAGAGCCACTGTTGACACCTGACTCTCTTTGAGCATCCAGCCTGTCTCCCTATGGGAAGGCTTCCCAGCCCAGCTTTCTCCTGTGTGGTATGTGAAAGGCTTCTGAGCCAGATGATGAACTGTGTGTAAATACTGTGAGGGTTGAGGAAGGAGAAAGGTGCAGCTGGATAAATTAGCTGAAACAGCAAGACATATAGAAAACAACAGATGTAAACTAGCCTGAGTGGAGGCGTACTTTTAAACTAGGTGACACTGGTTTATGCCTCTCTCTTCTTTTTGTTTTTAACACCTGCTCTCCCATTGCTCATGGGGCAAAATATCTGTATGTCTCAGTGTGCAACTTGATCTTCCAAGTCAAATGCATTTATTTGTTGATAAAATATTTATTAATTTTGTACTATATAGTGAAAGCAGAAATATATGAACATGGGATTACTTCCCACTTCTACTCTTTAATCCAGAAAAACAAGGATTAACTGGACATGTCCTATTTCTGCCTTTTGGGACAATGGATTATTGGGAAGGGTTCTTAGCCAGGTTGCACATTTAAAAATACAAATGTGCATGTGAATCTACAATTGTCTCAAAAGAAAAAGTTTTCAAGTATAAATAAATCAATATAATAAACAGACATGTGTATTCTCCTCTGCAGATCTATCCCTCAGTACCCGACAAGAGCCTTAACTCCTAAGCTGAATGGGCCTCATGGCTGGTCTGGCGTGGCATTTCTTATGCACAAATACAGTGCAGCCACTAAGTGGAGAAAGCCAGGACACTGGGCATTCTCAGTGCCATCTGACAATCGAATGGCATCTGGCAGAAATTTGGTGAGGAATCCCAAGGCCCCCCCAGAGCTGAGAGATCTTTTGGGAACCACTGTTGTCTGCCAAGGCAGTAGTAGAGCCTGGCTTTGGGACTCCTGGCACCGGCCACCATCACCTTTTGGTCTTCAATGTACTCAATGTCGGCTGTGTTGTAACCATCCCGCTGGCCCTGATGGAGGACCTTGAAGCGCCTCTTGCCTATACTGTCAACCACTGAGCGGCCATCCGCAAAAAACTGTACATTTCTGATCTCTAGGATGCAGCCATATTCCGCAAACCTGTTGAGAAAAAGTCAAGAAGGTAAATTAGCGATGAGTTCTTTCCCTGGCCTGGCCCCCAGCCATTTCTGTAACCCCATGCTATGCCTTAAAGGATTTCTGCCTATTTACCTGTCCAGGGTGTACAGATGCAGCTACACAACAGGCAGTGCCTGTGTGAAACATCCTAACATGTTAGTATACCTGCTACTATATATTGAGCATAGAGTATGTGCTAGACACTATGCTCAGTGCTTTATGTGCATTAACTCACCAAAATCCTTCCAACAAACCCAATGAAATAGGCACTACTATTGTATCCACTTTACAGATATGAAAACTGAAATCACAGAAAGGTTAAGTAACTTTCCCAAAGTCAAACTGGATCCAAGTCTGGAGCAAGAATATGAACCCAGGCAATTTGACTTTGGGGCCCACACTCTTAGCAGAACCAGTTTTATAGAACCAATTCAACAAAAGGTTATGCCTGGGATTTCTTTAACTAGGCAGCCTCTTAGGTGGTTAACTAAGAGTCAGAGGGATCCTGAACCTTGCAAAGGCTCATGGTTGGGAGCTGGCTAACTCTCATGAGTGGTGCCTCCCCATTTCCTGAGAGCATCCCGCAGTAAAACATAAACCCCCTCCAGCCAGCCTTCTTTACTCACTTTGATCCTCACTTACCCTTTCACAGGATCTCCAAGGCACATGCCAAACTGCCTTGTGCCTGTTTCAATGCATCTACGAATCATCAGACGGTAACAAGGCTCAAAGATGTGCAGGGGACAAGGAACAGTGGGGTAGGCCATGGTACACACGAAGATAGGCACATTCTTATTCAAGCTATCAGGAAGAGCAAATGACATGGATCTCAAAGCAATGGAGACCACAGAAAGGTTGGTTGAACATCACCGTATGGCTCCCCAGAAGGAAGACTAGGAGATAGCAGGTTTTGATGGCTAAAAAAAATACTGAAATGCAACTGATGCTGGGGCTAAGTCCCATTCTGTGGTGCAGAGGTTAGCCTCAGGGATAACAACATTAAATGGACATTCTACACATTCTAATTTGGCTAAGGAAGTTCTCTAGTACCTTCACTTTGAGGGTGATAGTTACACTTCATGCTTTTCCTTTCTTTCTTGCATGCTCTCCTCTCAAAACAATCTTTTCATGTGTCGTGCTGGCAGTATGGGAAGGCAATAAAAGCCGACTGAGTTCTCCAGAGGGATGGTGGGACAATCTCTGTGGGTGCCCATTATCTCAAATTTGCAAAGCCCCCAGAAGATCTGCATGGCGGGCCCAGGTGGGAGGAAAAGGGAACAACAGAGAGGCAAGAGTAATCTAGCCCAGTGATGTTCAAGTGCTCCTGTGCATATGAACCACTGGGGGCCCTTACGTCCAGACAGGAGGGCTGTGGCATCCCGAGACACACTGGTGCATTAACTCCAGATTCGGACCCAGGAGTCTGCCCTCCAAAAAGTACCCATGAAGATTCAGACACATAGCCTGCCAGGGAACCACCCGCCAGACCGGCTCCTCCTGGATCACTGTTCTCTTGTTTGTCTAGTAAAACCAACACAGGGACATCTGAACACAAAATTAACTCCAAAGGATTAAGTTTAGGATTCCTCTACACAGAAATCCCTCTAGTGTATCCTAGTGTTTGTTAATAAGAAATTAAACAGTATTTAAGAGGAGGGCTCCAAGAGTCTCAAGGCAAACATAAGAATCAGAAATAAAGACGTCCCAAGTAGGTCTAGTACAAGACAGTGAGAAAAAAAAGGATGTCATTTCTAGCTTCCCAGGGAAACATGTTGTTAAAAGTGAGAGACACATTAAACAAATTGGTGGCAATTTAGAAATGTTCTCTATGAGGTGGGTCTAAACCCAGGACAGCTTTTGCCATTGGGCACCTCGCCCCTAAAAGGCTGTAAGGATTCCCCTGTGGATGGGGAGATGGGAGGGGCAGCAGTATGAGAGGCAGAAACAAGTGACTGCCTCCTGCTTTTTCTGCTAAGTGTTCTTCCAGCCAGGCAGAAAGCTTGGAGCCCTACTTCCATCTCCATCCCTACCCTCCACCTCTCACAATACCTGAATTTGGCAGAGGAAGCATGAAACAAACAGCATTCTTACTACTGCCATTTTTTAAGTACTTCTATAAACTAGCTTATTTGATCTTCCTAACAAGCCTATGAGATAAAAACTACCATTATCCCCAAGCTCAGAATGAAGAAACTGAGGCCCAGAGAGGTTGAGTGACTTGCCTAGGGTCAAGAAGTATATTGACTTTGTGGCAAAACTGGGTCATAAGCATTAGTGTGGCTGACACCAAAGTTCTTAACCTCTTAGCACCCCCTTATATATTTGAAAACAGTCTTCTGCAAGTAGTGACTCTATAGCATCTTACTACGCTGACGGACAGTGACTGCAATGGGGTGTGGGAGGGACTTGATAATAGGGGGGAATGTTGTAACCACAATGTTGTGCATATGAAACATTAATGAGACTGTTTATCAATGATACCTTAATGAAAAAAAAGTCTTCTGTATACTTTGTAAGTTTGCCTTGATTAAGCTATCCAATTTACTCCTGCCAGAGACACCCAGTTGTTACTAGTGAGTGCCAAGATGTAACCTGCTCAGAGGTTTTGGCTTATGCCTCTTCAGTATTATGCTGGTAAATGTTGAACAACTGGCATGCCAGGTGGGGGTAAAGCCCTAGTTTACAGCATTTGCCAATTTCTATGGTGTAAATACTCCCACTGTGGCCAATTTCAGGCTACCAACATGATATCACTAAATGAGGAGTTAGGAAGAAATGTTCACAGTCAGCTCTATGGGCTAGTATGAGTGAAAATGAAAATAGAAACATGTTTATACATACTTAGAAAGTTCTTCCATTTCCTCTTCATAAAGCCTCCTTCGCTCCTTGAGTTCTTCTGGGAGGAATTTAGCTATTAGCTCTTCCATTATGACATTTTTGCTGTATTTTCTTGATGCTAAACACTATACGGGGAACAAAGCAATTAAATATTATGCAGTCATCAGAAAAACATAGAGCACTCTGATATCATCAATAGTTAAATGACCCACATATTGGAATGGTTTGGACCCTCCCATTAGCAGCTGTTATTATCATAATGTATGTGTTCTCTGGATGTTAGGGTTTAATTTTAAAAAACACATGCAATTAATTCCATAACTAGAAAAATATTTTAACAAAGGGAAAAGACCTGCACTGAAGTTTTAATAATCTCAGATCTTTCCTAAAATACTGACACTGAGATCATGTTCTTGTCAAAAAAGGGAGAAAATCTTTCCCTTTCTTTTTTCAGATTATTCTGTCTCTATCTGGGATATGCTGAAAATCCATGGTCAGATGGTGCAGGGAACTAAAAAGCCACTTTCAATCACTAGTTGAAACCATTCAATCACTGACCCTTTCCTGCCTTGTTCCACCCACCCTGCCCCAATGCTTGGTTTGTGGATATTGCAAGTCTAAGTATTTTTTTCTCATCTAACTTTGGTTTAAAAAAGAAAACAGCTAAATATTGTTGATTTTGTCTATTTGTTTTTCAATAGGCCATCTAGGTTATCACTGAAATTATGTTAAACCATGACTTCAGAACTGAACTTGGGCTCAGCCTGTCACCATTACCCTCCCCTCAAACACCTCGATGCCATGCATACTAGGGATCTGTGAGTATTTAATTGTTGTGGCTATTTAACTGTTGTCAACCAGTCAAAGGGAGTTAAAACATCTGCAGAGAATCGCTCGCTAGGGAAACTACCCGCACAGACCCAGCAGGGGGAGCTCCTGGTTTAAAACTGCTGCCTTCAGACAATTTTTCCTTTCCCAGGATGGGCTATGTCTGCCTATTTTGCAGTGAACATGATTTGAATAAGATAATTATCTCTCTGGAAAATGGTGTCAGTGTGACCCTGTGTGAATACACAGAGATAAATGAGAATATCTTCTAGCCCCTGCATCCAGGACCCCCACAGCATGTGCTTCCATAAAGCCTTTTCAGCTACTGCTACGGCTTGCCTACAGTAGAATCAACAGCTTTGCCCACTCCAAGTCTGTGGGGAAAACCAGTGACTCAGAAGATAGCCAGTCCAAACAGCAGGTGACTCCTCTGCTGATGCAAAAACAAAAACCCAGGAAACGCACATACTATAACAGTGGTTTTCTCCAGGTGATGAGCATATGGGTAGATTTTTCTTCTCTCTGCTTATCTGAATTTCGTAGTGTAACCACAACACAAATATATTATTAAGTATAAGGACCATGGGATTCTCTCAGGCCAGCAAATCCCACCCCTGTACCTAGGTAAGGTATGACACTGACCCTCCCCACAACCTAATATACTCCTCAGGGTTATCCTGGGTGATTACTCACTCCATTCCCTTAGTTTAAGTGTCGGGTTTGGGGAAAACTCAGCATGTGATTTCTCTAGACCTACAATCAGCTAGAACAGTCTTGTGTCTTCAACCTCTTCTCAGGGATGACAGGGGTCAAAGAACATTAATACTGACTGTAAAATGTGATACAAGTCCCTGAAGGAAGGAAAACAAGATGGATTTCCAAGTCTTCTTGTGTTATAGGCAATTCCATCAGCTCCCTTTGAAAAACAAAGGTGGCAGCTTGTGTGATGCATTTTAGAAGACCTGGAAGCCCCAGAGCTTTTCAAGTAGCCAAATATTTGCTAGTAAGTACAGTGGTTCTTGAGGGGTGGGACAAGGACCACAATGAGAGTCTATGAGGTCTTTCTGGGGACCTGGGAATGATCTCTTCAAACCACAGAATAAACATGGATGATGAGGGGACATCAGAGTTCATCTAGTCCAAGCCCAGGGAGGACAAAAGAATCACCCAGGATTACAGTGAATAAGGTGCCATCATGGGACTGGAACTAGGATCCATGTTTACCATCAATTTAATACTTTGGTTTCCAAGATAAATTAATCTCACTGCTGACTGACAGTTCATAAAAAGCTCTATGTTGCCTCATTTTCCTGAAGGACTATGTGGAGAGAGGAGGGGTGGCTATAAGACAGGAGAAATATGTGGTCTGAGGGGGTGTTTTGCCCTGGCACAATGCAGTGGCTTGAGATCCAATAGGATGCTGTCTTAATACCCAATTCCAAATCAGCTAACCCAATCAAGAAAGAAATAATGTTTTACCTGTGAAAGACCATCTTTGCTAGGAGACAGGAGAAACAGACGGTCTGAGGGGGTGTTTTGCCTTGGTACAATGCAGTGGCTTGAGATCCAATAGGATGCTGTCTTAGTACCCAATTCCAAACAAGCTAACCCAATCGAGAAAGAATAATGTTTTACCTGTGAAAGACCATCTTTGCACAGTGGACACTTCGCATTGTGATCTAGGCATCTTTCAAGGCATTTTAAGCAAAATGTGTGCCCACAAGGTGTTGTGACTGGCTCATAGAATAATCTGAAATTTAGAAATCAAAATGGAAGAAAACTACAATAAGATCCAAAATAAAAGAGCTACTTCATGTAAAAATTTTATAGTATTATCTGAAAATTCTGTGTGTTGGGGGGGTGGGGAAGGAAGTTCTTTCTATTAAAAAAAATCCCTGCTATTGTTGCACTTCAGAAAAGCATTTGCTTTATTTATTAGCTAGATTTTAAAGTAATACACTTATTAAAGTTTAAGACATAGCTAGATCATTTAATAACATTAGTTCTAATTAGTTTATTCTGGGGCATTCAGATTTTTTTCCCATGTCAGGTCCCAGAAAAAGAGAGATTAATGCCCAGAGTGTCTATGCAGATTCCATTCTAAAATATTTAGCCAACCTGTTCATCTTGAGTATATGTAAACACACAGGCAAACAAATACAGAGAGATAAACACACACATATGCATTTACCCATTTAAGTACTTTATATCATATTACAATGGACAAACACTTGGCTTGTTTGCTAACCTTGACTCCATCTTTCACCTAAGCTCCCTGTTTACTGCCTGAAGGATCTCGAAATTGCACCTGTAATCAACATGTAACTGCCTTTCATACGGATGGATCATTTTTTTACTGTCAATACAATAATATTGTCAATGTGCTGAAAGACACACATATATACATGAATATGTATGCATACATATACTTCAACTAAACTCAATTTTAATTGCTTTTCAGGAGCTGGATATTTCTCAAAGCAATCTAGGGATCTTTTTAAAAGCTGTTCTGTACAGAGATTCACGAATTTACTTAAAGAAAGGCTCACCTGCAGCAGGACCACTGGGTGGGGGCAGCTGAAGACGACGGTTCAGAAATGGGCTCACACTCACCAAGAGGAGAAAAAGAAGGAAAAAATGCCTGACCAGCCTATTTTGAGCTCACAGGAGTGTTCAGTTGAAAGAAGCGGCCAACTGCACAGCCCCCTCGTGTGGCCAGGAGGTGCATCAGCAGGCTGGCCCCCACAGCCAGGCTGAGCAGAGGAATCAAAACGTCAGAGCTGAAAAGTACTTGAGAAAAAATTGAACCCACCAACTGGAATGAAACTGCAGTCAGAGGGGATGAAGTTGCTTATATTCCGTGTACACAGCCCACCGTTGGCAGGTGAAAGTCTGTCCAGTTCCCACTTCCAGTCAGATGCTCTTTCTACTAGAACAATGATTGTCACCCACTGCTGTGCTTATTTATTCAACAGTTTTATCAAGGCATAATTGATGTGCAATAAACGGCATAGACTTAAAGTGTACAGTTTGATAAGTTTTAACATATGTACACATCTATGAAACCCTGTCCACAATCAAGATTATGAACATACCCTCCCCTCTGTCCCTCCCCATACCACTCCCATCACCTGGGGAACTTTTTTCAAAAAACAACAGATACTGGGACCACAGCTGTGGAGATTCAGATCAGTTGATCCATGTTAAGGGCCATCTGGAGTTTTAAAGCTCTTCAGGCCGTTGTACTGTGTAGCCAGGGTTGAGAATGGCTGTATTAACATAATCCTACCAACCTCTGCATAGGCAAATCCTCTGCACTGGTCTCCAAAACTAATTATCAGAATCACCTGTGGAGCTTTTAAGACTATAGACATGGTGAAGCCCCACTAGATAAACTCTGTGCGATTTCAGCAGGTCAAGAGAAGGGGCAAAGATTTGATTTATTTTTTTTTGAGGAAAGATGATACATATTAGGCACGTTTATTAAGTATATTCTTTGTGGGGTTTTTTTTCTTTTTTTACTTGGCGGATCACAATATTAAGATGCCCTATTTATAAAACACAAAAATAATACCTAAGTATAATGAATGAAACGAGAAACTAAGTGCCCACCTTCCCTGCCTTGACTCTCTTCCAAATCACACTCCTCAGAGATAATCGTGTTGGCATTTTGGTGTGTGTTCTTTGGGCCCATTTTTTTTTCTTTTGGTATCCTTAATCTACAATTACATGGGAACATTATGTTTACTAGACTTCCCCCTTCACCAAGTCCCCACCCCCCACACCCCAGATTTGATATTTTTAACAAGCCAATGAAGGTCTGGAGTAGAGAAAACACTTTTCATATATTTACTTTTTTCTACTTTTTGAATGTTATAATCCTATTTTAAAAGTACTCATTTTTTTGGCAGAATTAATAAATTTCAGTTATTAAACTGGCCAAAAAGTAAAATTAATTTTTTAAAAACTCTTTATGATGGAGATCCTAACCAGTATACTGAGGCAAGAAGAAAAAATAAAAGTATGAGGACAGGAGGAGCAAAAACCAAATATGTCATTATTCACAAATGGTGTGAGGGTAAACTTAGAAAATCTAAAAAAATCTACAGGATGATTATTAGAATTAATAAGAATTGATAGAATTAGCAAGGATGCTAGATTAACACACACAGGATTATATTCTATATACCAGCAAAGAACATAAGAAAATAGACATTTTAAAAGTTTCTGTTAGAAGTTTTAAAAGATGACTTTTACAGTTGCTTTTTAAAATCAAGTACCCAGGAATAAATCTCACAAAAGTTGTATAAGACCTCTATTGGGGAAGATTATAAACACCTCATTGAAGAAAGTCATGAAGACCTAAGTCCCAATAAAAATTCCAGTAGGTTATTTCATTTGTTTGTTTGTTTTTGTGGAACTTGACAAGTTGATTTCTAAACTTTATAAGGCAAGGCAAAGGGCCAAGAAGAGATGAGACACTTCCAAAGGGCAGCAATGTGGGAGGACTTGTTCTACCAGACGTCAGAACTTGTTATAAAGCTGTGATGATTAAAACAGCATAAGACTAGCACAAGGACAAATAGATCTACGGAACAGAAACAGAAAGCCTCGAGATAACCCATACCCATATTCTTGATTTATGACAAATGTGGCATTTCAAAGCAGAGGGGGGATTTTCGGTACAGAAATAACATTCTCAGTAAATACTATTTGAGAGAGCTGGCTATCCATAGGGGGTAATGATGTATACACAAAAATCAACCTCAAGTGGACTGTGAAAATAAATGTGAAAGGCAAACAGTAAAACTTTTAGAAGACAAAATTATCTTTATGTCTTCAAAGACGAAGAAAAGATATGTTAAACAAGACCCAGAAAAACACTATAAATGAAAAGATTAATAATTTTTACTGCATTAAAATTAAGTACTTGTAATGGACTAACAGTTACCAAAGGGAAAGAGACTGGGGAGGATGGGAGGGAAGGGAGGGATAAGGGCCGGGAAGAAGAAAGGAGGTATTATGATTAGCATGTATAATGTGGGGGGTGGGAGAAAGGGGAGGGCTTTGCAACACAGAGACCAGTAGTGATTCTACAACATCTTACTATGCTGATGGACAGTGACTGTAATGGGGTTTGTGGGGGGGACTTGGGGTAGGGGAGAGCCTAGTAAACATAATGTTCTACAAAAAAATTAAAATAAATAAATTTAAAAAAAATTAAGCACTTGTAAGTTATCAAAAGATGCCATTAAGGGAGCAAAAATTCAAGCCACACAGGAGAACGTATTTGCAGTTCATATGATTAAGAAAGAACTTGTATCTAGAACATACAGAGAGCTCCTACAAGTCAGTAAGAGATAACCCAATCGAAAATGGGCAAAGACTTATATGAACCAGCATACATAAAACTGTTCATAGGAACCTTGTGCATAATAGCCCCAAACTAGAAACACCCCAAATATCTACTATAATAGAACTGACAATGGGATACTATACACTAATTGGTGGTAGAACTGTACAATGGGATACTATACACTAATGAAAATGAACAAACTTCACCTACAAGCAATAACATGGATAAATCTTAATACTGAGGAAAAGAAGCCAGAACCAATGAATGTTCTGGATAATTCAATATATATAAAGTATTTTTTAAATAGGCAAAACTAAATTATACCACCTAGAGATGTATACATGGGTGGTAAAACAATTTTAAAAAAAGAAATAAAAGTCAAGACTGAGGTTTGCTGTTGGGGGAGTTGTGACTTGAAAGTGGCATATGGGCAGCTTCTGGGGTCCTGGCAATGTTTTATTTCTTGAACTAAAAGGGGTTGCATGAATATCCTCTTTACAATATTTTCTTAAAAGAATACATCTATATGTTTATCACTGCATATATTTCACAACTGAAAATTTTTTCCAAAAGTGTGAGTTATAGGCTGATTTGAGAACCTCTGCTGTGATCCAACGCCTAGAGCTGCCAAACCAGCATATCTCATTTCCTCAGTAATTTGAGCCCTGTGAATTTGGATGCTCCCTATACATTATTTGATGATGCTAACGATGATGACTGATGGATCTCTATCTGCAAAACTCTTTTTCCTGAGAATTTCAAAATTGGGCCTTTGGTGCACTTAAGAATGCAATCAAATAAAATAACAATGATATAGCTGGCTAATTAATTGTAACAAATACTGACACTTGATGAGCAGTATGGATACTAGCAGACACAAATGGATAATAGCAACCCTTAGCAAGAGCTATGATTAAAATGTGCCTCAACTGAGTGGTCACAAACAAGAATGCTGCTACAGTTGCTGCATAATGCATAATTACCTCTTTGAAAGAATTCAAGGTTCAGATGCTTAGAATGTATCACCTTTCCCTAATCAATTGACTTCTAAATTCAGGGCTGCTCTGCTACTCCATAAAGGTGGAGTAAAGTGACTAGGAACAGGTCTCTTGTTCTTCTGGGTGCTTGTCAACACAGTTTTCCATAGAAATTAACTTCATATATTAATAGGTGGTAATTATGATTAGTTCCATTTTACTATTGAGGAAATTAAGACTCAGGTTAAATACCTTGCCCAAGGTCACACAGCAAGCTAGTAAGTAGCAAGGGCATGGGATGTGAAGTCACACCTGATTCTCAAGCTCATCTTCCTTCTCCACTATATGACATGGCCATGACCATGTGTACATCTGTATCTAGAACAGACATCATCCATCCACTTGTAGATGCGCACAGGCACACACACACCTCCCTCCCTCTCTCTTTCCCTCCCTCCCCCACCTCAGAGAGAGAGATAGAGAAATTATACATAGACAGACAGAGCTAGAAATAGTATATACTCAAATTCTTCTCCTTTTATTTAACACTTTAGGTAATGATTTCAGAAAACACTTCAGGGAGCCATTTATAAATCAGAGTTGGGCCAGATTTTACAGTGTTACAGTGATGGAGTAAACAATAGTAATAATAAATACTTTCAGTTAGATGTCCCGGATAAAATGTTTGGCTTGTCTGGAAGCAGCTATCTCTTCCCACCAGTTACATCCTTGTATTGTGTTCCTTTGCTGATTTCAAAGAGGGATTTAGAAGCAGAGAGGGAGGAGGGAGGAGAAAGGCGGGGAGAGAGAGACAGAGAGAGGAGACTACAATGAACAGACTCCTTCACACCTGGCTACTTGAGTAGCTAAAATTAGGTTAAATATAAAGGTTTTCATTTCAATTAACAAAGAGGTCACTGGGCCATTAGGTAACTGGTTCAAATATCAGACTTTCTTGCTCCAGATCTTAAAATATCCTTGCCACCAAGGTGCTGCTTCACAGCAGCCCCAGCGGTGGCCCCTAATGGCTAGGGTATCCATATCAGGGAAATCTCAAGAGAGGACTTTCAGTCACTAAAGATCGAGTAGCAGAGTTCTGAAGTGTTACAATTATGAAGCACCTTGCCTCAGCAGAGCTGTCCCAATCCAGCATGAGAGATCTGGAGATTGGAAAGCTTCTTTTCAAATGCACCTTCCAATTAAGTGTTTCATTCCAGCTCTCTACCTTTTCCCCTGTGGAATGCGTAAGGTACTCCTGATTTTCTCTCCAGAATCAGAACAGACAAATTCACATTCTAACTTGTTCTGTACCGGTGCAGTACCATGTGACTGGATTTCATTCTAGAAACTTGCACAGGAGGTACAAATTCTCTAGTTTCATGACTGAAGGATTGTTTCAAAATCTCATCCCTTAGACCCTCTGCTGTAAAGACACATGAGAGTCATGAGAGAAATAATCCTAACAACAATAAAACAAAGCAAAACACTAGAGAGGCAGAAGCAGGAACTTTTTAAAGACTGCAATAATGCAAGCTAAAGCATGAATATGAAATAGCCCCTGTCAGCATCTGATTTCTGACTTACTGACAAGTGCTGCTGGAAGTGGAATTATATGCTTCTGACCAAGGGCTACAGTTTTAAGAGCCTCCAGATCAGAAATGCTTCCTGGACCTGGCAGGTTTCTTCTCACCAGAAAGCATAATTTACCAGCTCTGTAACTTACTGCCTATACAATAGCCACTCCAGGAAAAGATGGGTTTTTGGTTTGAAGTCTCACTTAGAACAGAATACTGGCTTTTAAATTCAGAGTGAACAAACTAGAAGGGGGTCTTATCCTCTTGGTGTTTATTTCTTGGCACTATTTCTAACCCTACTCTGAAGACCCCTGTTGAGATCAGGGACAAACAAGATGAAAGGGAGAAAGCAGAGGAAAGGGAACAAAAGAACTTCAACCTCAGGATCCTTAGTACTCGGGGAAACCACAAACAGGATGAGTCTGTGTGTTTGATTTTTCATGCCCTAGATGTCGGGAGGAGTGTTAGGAGGGTAAGTACACCACAGACCTGGGCCTTCTGAGCACATGGATTGAAGTCTGTCAAAGTCTGTTATCTGAAAGACCATAACCCCATCACAGGCTTAGAGCCATAGTGGTGTTACTTGCGGAGGCCCATTTCTCTGCTTGGAAGCAGATAATTTTTCTCTGTCTCGTAAATTGACTCTGGCATGACCCATCTGCCACTTTGTTAAGAGGGGGAGAGGGAGATGGTAAAAGGGAACTGGTTATACAGCCCATCCCACCTACAACGCCCAGCAGTATATGGAAGGTTTGCATGCTGCTACATTCCACCTATTCAACTGTTATTATCAGGTCTGCCTGAGCTCATTGGCAAATGTGACAACTCTAATATTTTTAGAGAAAGAAATAGTACAACTTCAGGTAATGCCTGCCTTACTTATTTTTATTCAGATGACAAGAAATGTCATTCTGAACACAAACACTTGTGATTGACATGAAAGGCATATGTGTTTGTAAAGGGCAAGAAAGCATCCGAGGGCTGTTTTTTGCCTGGATCCCCCTGTGCAGTGGACTGAAAAGCTATTCTTGACATTTCTTCTCTTAGGTCAACCATCTAAACAGCTTTTGTGCAAATATCTCCGCCTCCTCTTAATGCTCTTTTGAAAAAACAACACATTTGAAACTCTACTGAATGGAAACTGCAGAGTCCTGGAAACAGACACACACATGCACACACACACTTTACACACAACTTCAAAGAATCCATAGATCTACTGGAATCCATACACAGAACTTCCTCAGGGGTCTGTGGCTAAAGTTAAAAAAACCTCTGTTATAGAAAATAATTTAACATTTATTATTTATTATATGTCAGGCACTATTCTAAGTGCTTTAAATAGATGTTCTTAATTAATCCTAACAACCCCGCAATGTAAGTACTACTGTTCTCTTTTTTACTGACAAGAAAACAGTGGCAGAGCAAGTCACTTGCTCTGGGTCAAACAGCCAGTAAGTGGAAGAGCCTGGGTTCAAACCCAGGCCATCTCCTCTTGGCCACAGTGTTACAGCTGTGAAATGCAACAAATGAAAGTTTGTTTTTTTTTACACAGGCCATGATTGTAGTAGTTTCCTTTTAGGGGATGCAGGGGGAGTGGGCAAGTGTATGGATAATTAGCCTGTCCAGAGAGCTGGGAAAGTAGACGTGATGTGGCACTGGGTGGAGGAGACATACTTGGCCAGGTAGTACCAGCCCACTATTAACACTGTTCGTGGAAGAAAACAAAAACTAGTTAAGCCCTCTACTGTGGCACTGACATTAGCCCTTGACCTTTGAGATCTTCATCTGGGAAGTTAGTTCCAGGGTCACAAACTTAAATACCTTAAGGGGCTGGGAAAGTAATGCAAATGTGAAATGCAGGCTTGTGGAGGACAGTGGCAGGGGAAGGGTGGGGGGACCATAAACAACTGGAAAGTGTGTGTCTCATCTTAAAACATTCACATTTAACAACCAAAACACATTTGGCCTTATGGGTCATTACTTTGTGACCTCTGAGTAGACTGTTTCCTTTCCACTCTAGGTATTTCCAAGTCAGGAGTGCAGGGAATGCAATCTGTAAGCAAGGGACACAAGCTAGCCCATGTGACAATCAGTGTCATGATGATTTCCATTTCGTTAGAACCACACTTTTACATGCTGACCAACTGAGCAATCATTGGCAGAAAAGACCAGACACCAGAGAGGAAGAAGCCTCAGGCAGTAAGTGGTAGTACGTGTCACATACCTCATACACAGGGAGCATTCAAGGTCAGACGCATCAAAAGATGTGAGTGGAACACTGACAGCAGGCTCAGCCCCCAGGTCAGTGGGAGGATCTGTGATGTGGAAAGCAGTAAGTCAGAGCTGGACCACCTGGGCTTTCACAGACAGTGCTTCTGAGATAAAATAACCCCATTATCTTTTCAGTTGGCCACTCTCACCATCTCCCAGAATGGTAATCTGCTGGCCACCTGAGCCACTGAGAAAGGGATATTCATAGGTTTCCAGCAGCCCCATCTACAAAGAGAAGTGCAAGTCAGGGAATGTCCAGGAATGCTGGGCACTTCACCCAAGGGTAACAGGCAGCTCACTCAACAGCAGCAGTAGCAGCTCCATGGACTCAGCCAGGCCAGGCCTTCAAAGCTGATACCGAATCCTGGCACTGCCAACCTCCCTTGGAATCAACTCAAGCCACAGCTGCTGCTTCTCAGATGCTATCTATGGGAACACCACTGGGAATGAGTAGTGAGGCCTGATCACACTTCCCGGGCCTACAGTTCTATAATGGGGGTGGGGGTACGGAAAGGATGACCTGGACAAGGGCAGGAGAGCTCATTACTTGAGACTGTGCTTGATCTTCTGCCTTGGTTTCCCATTAAAATTACCACCTAGCAGCCTGCGGGGAACTGTGCATGCTCTCCCAGAAGCTTCGCAGCAACCCGAGGTGGCACAGCGAGTGCCCCAGCTGGGCCACACGCCTGGTGTCTGGCCAGCCCTACTTTCCAGGGTGAGGAACTTGCATATACTGGCCACCCCAGTCATCTCCTCCCAGCCCTTCTCCCCAGGTAGAGTCAGTACCTGGCTTAGAGGCTTTATTAGGCATCTCTGGGTCTTGGGGTTCAATTTGATAATGTTTCCTTTTCTTTTCCTGGCATTTGCCAGTCTTGATGGAGGCAGCGTCCCCCTTCTCCTCCTCTCCTTCCTGGTCTTTCATGTTGTCTCGCTGCCCATGCCCCTGGACTTTAGCTGGGCTCATCAGGCTGCTGCAGTCCCCACCGGCTGCTGCTTCCTCCTGTCTAGAACAATGTGGAAGCTCTGGATTTTCCTAGAGGAAGAAGGAGCCAAGCATCAGAATTAGGACCCATATTGTCCTCTGATATCCCTACGCACAGGGGAAAAACAGAAAACTGCACAGTCCTCATCATTTAGTGGACACAGAGCTTCACTGAGGGGCACTCGTGAGGTATATTTCCCACCTCTGTCCACACAACATCTGTGGCAAAGGCATGTGCAGCTTGGGTGAAGCTGAGGCAACAGTGTAGGCAGGGACAGAAAGGTGTGTATGGGACAGACTCCTTGGCCTGTGGTAAAGGGGAGAAATGGAAAGCATAGCACCAGTCCCCTCTCCTAGCCTCTGCCCAGCTAGCACCTTAAGGAGACCAGGGCATACAATGAGTGTACATCCTGTCACTCAGTACTTCCTCTGGCCCTCATTGCCATTCCCGGCCATCCACAAGTCCCAGCCCCAGAAGGACTTTTGTAGGACTTTGGCACACATGTGTTCACAGGCCTGCAGTTACCACTTGCTCCAGAGTTATATGTTGCCCTGCTCAAATGAACTAGGGATGAACTCTTCCTTTTACTAGACTTTGGGTGAAAAGTCTGAAAGAGAGACAACAAAAATCATTTGGCAAAGTGATCAATAATGTCTCCAGCCTTTTAAAGAATTTTCACCCAGGAGAGGGATATTTGAAAATGCATCTTGAAATAAATCCAGTGACACGGTGTTTATGCAGATTTACCTTGAGAAGTCCGCTCTACTCTAAACCTATAGTCCACAAGTCAAAATGCTCATGCTGTTTTTTCCCCTCTGACCCCCACCAAAAAAATATTGGTAGATGAAAAATGGGGAGTGTACAGTTGTGAGAAAACAGTGAAGTGAGGAGTGGGTTTTCTCAGTCTAATCTGGGGTTTTCTCAGCACAACACCAGTGCTGCATCTTCAACGAGCCCCTGGCGTTGCCTATGCAGGAGTGCACAGCTTTGCAAAGCAAACTTGGGGAGGAAACCCAATCCCTATTCCCAAACTGGCTCACACTGGAAAGCCAGGGGTGCTGATTTTCTTCATTTCAGATTGAGCTGCAATGAGAAGTCACTTCAGGCACTCAGTTCAGTATTAGTGTTCTCACTCATGTAATGATGATCTCAAACAATTACTGAAATGCACTGGGGGTTCTCTGGTTTCACGAGATACTCCAAGTTTGAACCCCCACCCTTTTTTTTTTTTTAGGTTGGGCACCCCTGCATTTTATTCCTTTTCCAGAGCAGGAAGAGAAGCTAGGAAATGTAAGGAAATGTTCCACCTTTCGGAGAATCCAAGAAGCCACGGAGATCCCAGGGCTTCTGCAGAGATAACACAGGGCAAGTGGCGGTGAAACCGCCGTCCTCAGGGAGCCTAGGTATTCATTCACAGCCAATCTCTGCCCTCAGGCCTGGCCTTCTGAGCCTCAGCTTCTGCCCCCTTGGCCTCTGCTGGGAAAGCCAGGGTCTGGAGCCCATTTCTCTGTGGTTCTGTTCCCTCATTTTCAAAAAGAAAGGAAGATTTAGATACCTGTCTTCCTCCAGAGCTTCACACTTCCCAAATCACTTCTCTCTTCTTGGCTACAAATATGGACTTGCAGTCTACTTTCACGTTTAAGACATGGTGCAGGAATATGATGAAATCACTTCCACTTGGGGATCAAATGGAGTTGTCTTTGCATAAGAACTCAGCTTGGACAAACAAAAGGCAGGAAAGGAGGGGCTGGCAGAATCTCTTCCCAGGCTCCGCCCCTAGGCTGATAAGCCACCCTGATTGACGGGCTCCAGGGAAGCAGGCCAACTTCTTTCTAGTTCTGTCAAATCTCTCACCTGGGTCTGACCAAGAACTGAAAAATGAAGGCAGTAAGTCAAAAAACCCATGTCTGGGTCCTGTCTGAAATCCAGTTTTATCTTCAAGGAATAACCTTCTAGCAAAGAACATAACCACTAGCGACTCCATTTCCTCTTTCTTGGGAACTGAAGAAGGAGAGGTATGGTTCACTCCCTACGTTTGCCCACAAAACAGCCGAACAAAGCGTCACAAGCGAGTCGGGTGAGTTGAGTTTTACCTGTGACAACTTTGGTAGATTACGGCTGGTGCCTTCAGTAGCCATTGACTCTACGTGTTCCTTTAATCTAGGGTGAGGTGCCAACAGCTTCAGGATATCGGGAGAATGTTCCTGAGAACGCCCCGGGACTGATGGTAGAAAGAAACTAAGGAGAAGCTGTGACATAAAACAGAAGACTTCACTACTTAAGTTTCTACAGGTGCTCAGGTGAATGGTGAGGGGTGGGAGGGAGCAGGGGAACATCCTGCAGGGCAAAACTCCAGGAAGGAAGCCTGGGACCAGAGACCCCAGCACACCAGGGCAGGGGTCCGCACGTCAGCGTGCATCAGAAGCCTGGGGAGCTTACAAAAACTCCAGGTTCCGAGGTCCTATGCCTGGCTCCCCCAGGTCTGAAGTGTGGTCTAGGAATCTGGACTTTGAAAAGGCACCACAGATGCCTGTCACCCTAGCCAAAGTTAAGAGCCACCACTCTGGTAGTACCACTTCACAGAAATATCTGCAGTGGGATTTAAAAACCTATGTAGGAAGAAAGAGACAGAGAAGAGAAGGCTGGTGAGAAACATTGGCTAGGGCACCTGGAGTCATGCCCATAACACTCCAGAGGGTAGGAGACTACAAATGGCTTCTCAGTTCCTCAGTATGTCTTCCCTCTGCCTGCCCATTTTGCTCCCTCCTCCCCCAGCCATCATCCCTGGACCTTTAGTCCCTCCAGCAGTGAGGTGTGAGGAAAAGGAGACTGCAACCTTCATCCCTCTCTCCCAACCTCTCCTCCCCCATTCTGTCCTTCACTTTCCAGAGAATGTCTGGTAACTTCACCTACTGGGGGCAAGCAGGTTCCAGTCTATGGCTGGTTTCTCTTGCATTTGGATAAGCTGGGGTAGGGGAGTTTGGGGTGGGAGGATGGACGCAGAAGGGACTGGGAGTCAAAGATGTGTGTTCTACTGCAGGCTGTACTACTAGCTGCCCACATTCTGGCTTCAGTTCTCCCCTATGCCAGCCAGGATTGTGAACATACATAGGTACACATTGCATGTAACAGGTAACACAGGAAAGCAGGTCACTTGGCTTCTAAAACACAGTCAAGTGTTTACCACTAAGCAGCCCCAGCAGTGTATGCAGACTCACTAAAGGATGCTCCACCCCTTGCTCAGGGTCATAGTCAGGGAATTCAATGATCAAGGCATCTGACAGACTCTGACCAAACTCCCTCCAGTTTGTTTTGTTCCCTTGCTGGCGCACAGCAGTTCCTTCATGATGTTTCCTCAGATGCCAGCACCTTCCACATAGCCAAAACCTGCTCAGCCTTCAAAGCTAGCTCTAGGGCTGCCTTCCTACTTCCCCAGGCTCCTGATCTTGCCTGTCCTTTCGCATTGTTTCCGGCACTGTAATATAGTATCTCACTCTTGGTCTTGTGTTAGCCTCAAACTGTGTCACAGACGTACATCTTTCTCTCTAACCAGATGGTCAGCTTCTAGAGGGCACATGATAGATGTCCAATAAATACACATCACACTAGATGGAATTGAATTAAGACATTTATCCACCCCAGGGCTTAGGGAAAGGCCTAGTCCTCAGGTCCATTTCTTTCCAGCTCTTCCCAGGCCTAAGTTGGTAAAGGAGTGAGGTGAGGAGGTACTCACAGGTCTAGGGCCATAAATGCCAGCTTTCAGAGGCCCGTCCTCCACAGAAGCCAGAGTCGGCCCTCAGAAGCCCTCCTGAGAGGCCCAAAAAGAATGTGATGCTCTCCAGTAGGAGGGAAAGGGAGGCAGAGCGGAGAAATCAAAGGAGACAAGGCAGAAACAGCAGCAGCATTCCACTTCATCCCTTTACTATAAGCCTTCCCAGTGGCTTTGGAAAACAAAAGTCGGGGGCAACTCTCAATGAGAATCATCATTCCATATGCATGAAAGTCCGTTCCACTTCAGTGTCAGCCTTAGAAAGGCCCAAATGGGGCAAGAAGGGGAAAAAGGAATCTGAGATAAAAGAACATTGAAAAGAAACCAAGGCCTCTGACTCTCTAAGGTGGCTAATGAATGCCAACTGAACCTGAAACATCTCTGTCAATCTGTAGTGTAAATCCAGTGAATAAGCACTGCTGAAGGCCCCCAATGTTCTTCAGTGGCTGCCATGCCCTCATCACACTTAGTGGAAATCTGCCTCTAAATTCTTGCCTCAGCTTCGGAACTCCGGAACACTCACATGGGCATATGCTCACTTGCACTGTCTGGCATTTATACTGCCTTGGATGACGCATGCAATACTGCAAGGTCCTTGAGGATTGAGACAGTGGCTTATGCCTCTTTGGGTCTCCAGAGTTTACCACAATGCTTGTCCCATCCTGCTAGGCAGTTGTGGAACACTAGCTGATTTATAAAAGCGGCTAAAAACAAAGGTCAACCCAACTGATGATACCAGAGCCTCTCAGGCCAACTGGGAAATGGACAAATAGGAGTAAAGAAACTACTCACCCCTGGACGCAAGAGCTGCCTCTGTGGGCCTCTGCACATTCTGTCCTCAAAACCAAGTTTCTTCTAACTGCCTTTGTCCATCCACCCCAGAACTGGATTACTCTTTACCCGGCCCCAACTGTGAGCACTAAGACTCCTGGCATGACCTCCTGGGACAGCAGGATGGTAGAGTGGCAAGAAGGCAGACTCTGGAAGCAGACGGATTTGTGTTCACAGGCTCACCCACCAATCACTAGCTGCATGACCTCTGGAAACATCACCAGGCCCCAGCTTTCTCATCTGTAACATGGGGACAAATAACAGTACTGACCCTCATAGGGATGCTGTGGGGATTAAATTACATCTTCCACAGAAAGCCCTAGCATAGTGCCTGCTGCATAGGAAATGCTTAATAGATGTCAGCTATTCTTCTTCTTCAATTTGGGGAACAGTCCACAGCCTGGGATATCCTCCACCACCAGTACTCCTCTCGAGAACACCTTTGTCCACACTCCCAAACCAGGTCAAAGCAACTTCCCAAAGGAGAAATCTGTGAGAGGTAGAACCTCCAGAGCTCAGCTTCCTCTAGCGCACTGATTTTACTAAAGATTCCTTTCTGGAGCCTTTGGAAACCAGGCCTGTCTCTTGCTCCCTTTCTTCAGCCACTTCTCTGTCAAACGGCCCTGGGACAGAACCACATGGGGCATGGTGATGAATCGGGGATGGGGCACAAGGAGAGCCGAGGCTACCCCTGACTGCCGGCATCCAAGCTGCAGGCCACTTAGCCAGACACCATGAGAGCACGCTGCAGAACAGCAAGGAACAAGGCCCACACAGAGGGAGCATTCGCCTAAAAGAACCACCACATTCTCCTGGGACCCAAGCGCTGGAGTGATGGTTTGGATTATACCGTAATGGTCCCTGTCTTACATTTGAGAGATACTGCGTGTATTTTATTTCTAGCAAAGGAGCCGAAGGTTGGAGTTCTATGTGTAGCAAGGTAGATGGGGAACAACATCCCTTCTGAGAGCTGGCTGCCCTGTGTGGCCATGAAGCTGTGACTTAGCCAAAGAAAATTCTACAACTGCAGACAGCCCCACACCCCTGAGCCCTCACCAACAGCCAGAATCTCCTCAGGGAGCCTCCATCCCCAAGTTAACTTTTTTGATTTTACTTGGTTTTGGATTTTTCACACTGACCATCCAGACTCTGAGTCAAAGCAAGAACATTCCTCATAGGTTCCTACAAAATGCAGGAATTGCTCAGTCAGATTGTACTCTCCAGGAATACAGTGTTCTGAGCAATCCATTGGCAGTTGTGTCTCCCTCCAGTCTTCTCAACCCAGGGAGCCACCCACTCAGGACCCCGAATTTCAGGGAGGACAGTTCCTTCATTCCCTTCCCTGGAGAAGACAGAGAGGTGGGAGCCTGTTAGGCAGCTGGACTTGATGTTATCTCAACTCACCCTTTGGGCTTCAGATCTTGCTCTTTTGTTCTTTCCATCGAGGGACACACAATATAGAAACTCCCTTAGTGCTTCCTCCACTTTGCCTAAGGTGGCTAAGGCTTGTGCTTTTCTGAAGTGTGCCTGGAAGAGAACATTCACATGCAGTCCCACTCTTACTCACCTTATCGTTGCTGCTATTATTAACACTGGCTAAATACTCAGTGGGTATTCACTATTGTGTAAAGTGTTTTAAAAGGGCTATCTTATCTACAGCCCTTTAAGTAGACTGCTGTTCTAAAGCCCACTGTAAAGACAAAACTGAAACCAGGAAAGTGACTTGCCTGAAGTGACATGGTTAGAAAGTTGTGGAATCAGGGTTTGAGCCTGGGACTGACTGATACCAAAACCTAAATTCTCAACAAGTGTGCCATGCTGCCTCCCCGGCATGCCACCATGGTATTGGAGGTGTCACCAAATGCAGCATGAATCCCTGTTTCAGTGCATACTAACTAGACAGGCCTTCCTATTATTAGCCTGTCAAGTAGAGATCTAATCCACATTCTTGATCAGAGTGGCCACCTATACTTACTGGTCATTTTCAGAAGAGGCCCAAAGGAAAGGACATGACATCTCCAAGATCGCAAAGGTAGCTGGTGGCAAAGCTAGAACTAGAGCTGTGGTCTGGGACCCCCAGAATGCTCTTCCGCACAAAGCCTACTGCCCTTCAGAGGGCTAGGCAGGGGCTGAGCAAATGCTTTCACTCCTGTGGGCTCAGCTCACCTCTGCTCCCTCACCACATTGTTAAAAAGTATAAAGAAGTTTTAGGACCCTTCAGGGGCCAAGCTCAAGTGGCCTGGGAGACTCTAGGGGTGGCAGAGGAGCATCCCGAGAAAGAGGGAGGAAGGAGAAAAGAGGTGGGAAGAGGGCTGCCTCCTCTCTGTGCCTTGGGAGAGGTGGCCTTTGCAACTTGGCAGGGAGGGCCTTCCTCTTGAGTCTGGGGAATGCTCCCATTCTCTTGCCCACGCAGCTGGCCCCGAGTCTAACTTGGTGAAGGAAACGACCCAGGTTGCAGCACGGGGCACTTTCCTGCCTCCCTTCCAAACATGCCTCTACAGGCCCCTGCACCCTCTGGCTCCAGCCTGGCTACAGGGGCTGGCCAAATCTCCCTTCTTGAGCAGAGGTCCCTGCTCTGAAGCTCTTAGGGACCTCCCCTCGTGCCCCCCACCTTCCTTCTGGAGCCTGATCTCAGCTGGTACTTGGGTGCTGATAGCTTCCCTCATTGCTCCTCCCAGCACTGATGACCAGGGGCCGTCTGGAGAAAGGCTTGCATGAGATTTCAGGGCAGCTAGAGGGCAGAAGTGAGGGAGACTGGAGAGGCCTCTGGGATCTCCCAAATCATACTGAGCAGCAACCCATATACTCCACCTACTCAGGGCAGCCAGCTCCCCCCACTGAGAGCTGCACTGCCTGCAGGATATTTTGAGTACCACTGGCTGGATGGCTGAATAGGGCTGCATGAGGTGAACCCCTCCCTTGGGGGCATTTCATACAGAAGCGGTGGGAAATATGCAAATGGGGTGTGAGATAGTTTTGAATCATACACATCAGTTCAAGTCTTCTCTCAACCCCCAAGATAACAGAGATCTCTGTCATTGCCCCTCCACTTACCCCAGCACTTTGAGGAAATGAAACCTCTGTTTAATATCCACCAATTTCTCCTTCCCTAGGGAAGGCCCTCTTCCCATTTCACCCACAGTGGTCCACTGCTTCTTAGCCCTACTTCCCCCTGCACGATAGAGGCCCCACCCTTACGCCCTAGGTTTAGGGTGGGAGTAGAAAAAGTTGCAGAAGATGTCCTCTTACCCCCAGGCATCTCCCTTACCCGCACTGCCACGAGGCCTGAAATGATCCCACTGAAGCTCCTTTTCAGTTAAGACATTGTTGACTTTTAGTAAAATGTAAATGTGTTTCTTGGAAGAAAGAACATACCAGTCCCTCATCACCCACAAAAACCTCCTCATGAAAGAACACAGGAGATTTACTCTGACAGTAATGGTGCAGTATACAGTCCACAGTGCTTTATCTGAACTGCCCAGATCCAAAAACAGTCTGATAATCCAATGTTTTCATAAGCTTGACATCCAAAGTCATTAAGGTGTCAAAGCCTGACCTAAAATGATAAAGTATGTTACATGCTTTATCCTGCTTCGTGTGAATGTTCAGGTAATGCGATGCAGAACTATTAGTATATTTGCTTCTGGGGCACTCCCAGAGCCCACTGAAGGTGTTACCCGATATATGGTCTTTCTGCAATCAGGAACATTCTGGATTTTGAACATATCTGGCCCCATGGGATTCGGATAAGGGATCATGGGCCTGGATAAGTTGGGTTTCTGAGGAAGGCACCCTGGGGCACTACACCAACACCAAGCAGGCATCAGAGCTCACAGAATGGCCTCTTGGCCATGCTCACTGTGACCCTCATCCTGTCCCTGTGAGGCAATCAGGGCAGAGAGCAATAGCTTCATTTTTGCAAACAAGGACACTTAGGGTCCAGAGAGTGAAGTGACTTCCCCATGGCCACTTAGCTTGCAAGTAGTAGAGCCAGGCTCAAATCTCATCTTTGACACAAAATATTCACATGTGGCTATGGGCCAGTCCCAAGGCAGACAGAGATGTAGAAAGTGACACTTTGCATCCTGACATTCTGAGAGATGCCTAGCCTGCCTTTCTTCCACCCCTCCACGTGACTAGATGTTTGAGGATACCAGCAGACTGACTGACCATATCAAGGACTCAAAATGGCACAGCCAGCCAAGAGTACTTCTCTCACCCTCCTCTTCCACTGCCCCTGGAAAATGATGATGATGGCAAGTACACATAATGCTATGTGCCAGGTATTGTTCTAAGCATCTTATGTGAATTAGCTCATGTAATCCTCACAACAAACACTGTTAGGGAGGTGCTTTGAATATCCCCATTTTATAGATGAGGAGATGAGATACAGAGACGTTAAATAATTTGCCCAAGGCCATACAGCTGTTAAAAGTTAGCAGAACTGGGGTATAAACTCAGGCAGTTTGGCTCCTAAGTCTGTGTTCCGGACAGTCACAAAGCCCAGGCTGCTATGCAGGTCATCAGCTGAAGAATCCACTTACCTTGCAGACCTGAGACACCTTTTGCCAAGGGACCCCCCCACCCCCCAGCTCCTTTGCAAAGCCTTACCCCTGCTCTGCTTGAGCTCTAGGGCCCCTAACCCCCAGGGAGGCAGCCCTTCCTGACAATTGTTGTCTACATACAACCCCTTCCCATCCAGGCCATCCCATACTTACCTTAAAACCCATTGGGCGGAGCTTACATGCTATTTCTGCATCATGCAGGGCGTCCTCATGAGACTCCAAGGTGAAATAAATTTGAGACCGGTTGCTATAAAGCAAATGATCGTTTGGAGCTGCCAAAATGAGAAGAAAAAAACCATCAATAACAGCACAAACACATGATGAATCCTGTATGAGGACGGCTCTTAAGCAAATGGCACGTTATCTAAGACTTTTCTACTGGGGATTCAAAAGGTTAAGCTCAATTTCTGACCTAATAGGGCCCTGCCTACTCCCTACTCCTGCCCGACACTTAGGGTCTGAGCTTCCCAACTGTGAAGAACTAACTTCTGCCCTTCTCACAAACAGTTCCTTAGTGGGCCTGTAGTGTCACCAGTGCATTAGTGACTATGACATAGAGGAAACCCTGGCACCCTGCTTCATGGCTATGTGCAACTAGCATCTGGCAGCTTGGCTTCTGAGGGAGGTATCACCCACAAGCAAATGGGCCAGGGAGCAGGGAGAGGAAGGTGACCCCCATCCTGGCCACCAGGGAGACAAATCCAAGTTAGTCTTCCAGGGACACTAGCAACATCTCTGCCTACAAAGCCCAGCACATAAGAAGTTTCTCTGAAGAAAATGAAAATGTCTTTGTAATGCTCCATCCTCTCATTACAGATAGCCAGACATGAGTGAACCTGAGAAAGGCTTCTAGGAGTAAAGTGAGGTTGGCTCTCACCAACACTTTGCGTCATTAGATGGGGCTGGACAGGCCTTTATAGAGAATATCTGGCTCAACCAACCCAATCTTCAGAGGAGGAAAATCAAGTCCAGAGAGGAGAAGGCATCTGCTCAAAGTCACACGGCTAGCTAGTCAGACTCACTGCTAGACTTTGAAGCTTTGAAACGGGTGGGGGAACATGTTCCCTTTTCTGAAAGGTGCACAGTACTTAGAATAATGAGGAGATGCTGGTCATCTTCCAGCACAAAAATACTTTCTGTTGGGGAAGCCCCTTTCCTCTGAAAAGGGTAAAGTGGACATTTTCACCCTGACTGCTCTGACCAGATTAGCAAAGGTGCATAAAGAACCCTCACAGAAAGTGGTGGCAGCAACAAAGTGGGAGGAGGAGGGCATGAGGGGGCTTTCCTGGCCCTTGGGGGATGGCTGAAAGCAATGAACTTCCCTTGGAAATCTGGGCTTAAGTAGCTCCATTATCTCCTTCATAGTGCCCTCCTCTTTCCTAGGGACTGGGCTCCAGCTTCTGCTGCAGGAAAAGGCTTTGTTTGTTTTCTCCTAGGGGTGCGTGAAGGGTTTGCCTGGGTGCCCATTACTTGCTCTAAAGCTACAGGCAAAGAGTTTACATTCTACTCTGTTCCTTTCCTTCTGCAGCACACGCCAGCCCACTTGCAGCTCACAACACGCCTAGCCTGGGCAGGGGGAATGTGTTGGGGGTGGGGTGAGGTGGCTCCCCCTCTCCCTCAGGTGCCAGTCTTGCCCCATTGGTCCTCATCCCTTTCCCTCCCCTCATCAGCCTGTTGCAAGCTCCGGTGGAGATTCAACACGTGGGACTCCAGCCCACTCCCTCCTCCACCCATCAGAATTGGGATCTGGACACCCTGGGATCCCAGAGCCCTGTCTGCCCAGCCCTGCTACCCTCTCCCCGGAACGCATCGCGGGACACGCTCCCTTGCCGCCCGAGCTCCTAGCAGCCGCTGTAACTGGGCAATACCCGCCCGCGGCTTGGTGGCTGCTTCCTGGGTCCAGACGGGGGGCCGGGGAAGCCGCTGCCTGAGGGAACTGGAACGCCCTAGTCTAGCCGGAGCCGTGGGGCTGTCCACGTTGCCCTTGAGGCCGCAAAGCCCACCCATCCCTCCTCTGGCAGTGCGGGGAAACAGGACAGAGGCATGTCCCCTTCGTAGCCAGCCCACAGTCTCCGGGGATCCCTGGGCAGGTAGTTGCCCTGCTCAGGCGCCCGCTGGGCTTGCAAGGTAGGAGTTGGAGGCAAGTGCTCAGGCTGCGGGGTGGAGGGGGGGGGCATCTATTTCAGCCGAGGATCGTGTGATAGGAAGCGGTGACAATGAGTCACAGGGCAGCGGGGCGCGAGCGCTCCTCCCTCCCCCCCGCACACGCTCGCGGGATGGTTTCCGAGGCGAGCGTGGCCCACTTCGGTTACCTCAGCCGTTACACAATCCCGCCCGCCCGCGCGGAGGAGGGGCCGCCCGGCCCGGGCCGCTCGCGGCCCTTATGCAACCAGTGCTCTCCTGACCTAATTCCACGCCCGGACCCACCCCACCGGGAGCCGCGGCCCCGGAAAGGACGGCTCCCGACCGCAACCACAGCCCCGTGCCAGGCTAGAGCAGCAGACGCAGGGGCCAACCAAACATCTCGGGGTGAAGAGCCCCGAGGACACCGCGCGAGTGTGAGAAGGGTGCGAAGTTCCTCTCCTGGCAGGGAAAGTGCGGGCAGGTGTAAGAGGGGGCCCAGACTGCGTGCAGGGGGAGAGGTAGAAGAGACAGAGAAACAGAGACGGTAACACCGAGCAAGAAACAAGAGTGACAAAGATGCAAAGAGCAAAAGATTTACAGTGACACAAACAGAAACAATGACTGGAAGACACAGAAACACAGAAGCCAACAGAAAACACGGGGAAAAAAAAACCGAGATCGAAGGACACAGAGTCAACTGATAAATTGGGGACAAAAAGTCAGAAACAGAACTCCAGTGTTCTCCTCCCCCGCCCCAGTCATGGTCAGTCCCACGGTTCCCGGCGCCCTCCCTGGCCCCGGTGGCACGGTGAGCTCACCTAGCCTAACTGCCTCGTTGTACTTGAGCAGCGCCGCCTCCACCTGGCGCTCGCGGTACAGCCGGTTGCCCTCGTGCCGGAGTTGTGACGCCCGTACCGGGCCTGGGAACAACTTGCCGAGGAGCCCGCTGAGCACCACGTTGACCCGCAGCGGCGGTAGCGCCTGCTGCCCAGTCCGCCGGGCCCCGCGCGCCCGCCCGGTAGACACCATTAACGCGGAGAGCTTGACCCCGCACAGCGCACAGCGCCGGTCGGCTGCCCGCCCGCGTTCCAGGCAGAGTTTACAAAAGGTGTGGCCGCACGACAAGGACACAGGGTCTGATAGAAAGCCATGGCACTTCCGGCACTTGAAGCCGTCCCACACTTCGGTGGCCGTTGCCGCCCCTGCCTCTTCCGCTGCCACCGCGCGGTTCGCCGCGCTGTTCCCGTCCGGGGGCGCCGACGCCTCGCCTTGCGGGACGTTCTCCGCCAGGCAGCGCACTAGCTGCTCCAGCTGCTCCGCCACCAGCTGCTGCCGCTCTGAGAGCTGTCTGTACACCTCGAGGGCTTCCCGGAGGCGCCCCCCAGACGCCAGGGCGTCGGCCTGTGTGAGCAGGACTTTGCACTCAGGCGTCGAGGCCCTCGGAGTCTGCTTCTGCTCTGGCTCCTGAGTCGAAAGCGGTGCGGCGCCTTCTGTAGCCGCCTCCGGGTGGAGACCCGTGTCTACGCGGGCTGCTGATGCCACCGGCTCCTCCAGCTCTAAGTTGTTGCTGCCGAGCTCGGCGAGCAAGCTCAGCGTCTGTCCAGTCTGAAATGAATCCATGGGGAGAGGGACAAGCGCGGGAAAGAGGCGTCTTAGGGGCCGGGGACCAGGAGCAGGGTGCGGTGGCTAGAGGGAATCGGGGCTGCCATGGCCGCCGCGCTACTGCGCGCCGGTACCTGCCGCGCCTCTCCGAGCTCCATGCCGGCCGCCCCGCGCCGCCTAATAACTGTCTTGTCTCAGCAAAGTGTTATATAAAGCGGTACCACGTGACGCGCCGCCACGCCGTTCATTGGCCGGCGGCGGGGAAATTGTTACAAAACCAGACAGTTTTGTAACAGTGTTGCGCTTGCTTCTTTTGGCTTCGCTTTTCTTGGCTTCTTTTTGAGGTTGTTTGTGTTTACACTCTGCTTTATTTCCCCCTCGCAAAGTGGTTCTTTTTCGGAAGGGGAGGGCAAATAACCCAAAGTCGTCTTTTGGGCTTCTTCGTCTCCAAACCCTACCCCATCCCACCTCCACACTGGCCAGCAAACAGGTCCCTACTGCCAGGCGCTCGCTAGCGCCCCCTCCCCCATCCCTCCCTGGAGAGGTCAGTACCCCAAGGCCCTCAGTCAGTCAGGTCTTTTGGGACGCCAAAGGCTCGTCCTCCTAGGGGCGACCTGTGCTGGCTGCGGAGAAGGGGGTTGGGAGGGTCCCGGGAAGCCCCCACCCCGGTTCCAGCCTCGGCCCACGAGCCCTGGGAGCCCCGCCCCGGATCCTCACACCCAGGGTTCCTGACCACCTCGCGGGAGTCCCCCAGATGTAGTAAGTGCGGCTAGCAGAGGCTCTGTCTCCCGTGTTGGGAGCGACTCGGAGACGCGGGCCGGGAGGGCGCAGAAGTTGAGCGGCACTCGCTGAGCTGTAAGGGACTCACGGAGAAGATGCGCTCGCTGGCTGGGGTCCGGGGGAGGCGTCCCGTGTGCCCCGCTCCTCACCTCTTCCCCCACCCCCAGTCGCCGGAACCCGCGCTGGGACCGGCGGCGGGCGCCCCACTGGAGATGCACCCGGCCCTGGAGGCCCCACTAGCTGGATGAGCGCAACCGCGAGAACTCGGCCCGATGCGGTCCTTGGGTATCTGGGGGCGTGGGAGAACGGCAGGCGGAAGACGGGAACCGGGAGCGCTTCTCCGAAGAAAGTCCGCGAACCCTGGCACACTCCAGCAGCCGGCAAAGCTGCCGCCAGGTCCGCAGCTCCGGAGAGCTGGGTTCTGACATCCGCACAACACAGTGGGGGCTGCGCGGGAGGGGTAGGGCTGCGCACAAGCCAAGGAGCTTGCCTCACAGTGGCTGGTGGGCCTCGACGGTGCCCCACTTACTTCCAGAAAGCCGGTGTAAGCTGCCCACAGTCTCCCTACCACCGCCACGCTTCGGACGGGAGCCACACGCACAAATAAGCAGACAGGCTCAGAGACCTAAAGGAATAACGCATTTCCCCCACGGTCACACAGCTCCAAGCAGGAAGGGAGGACTGGGCTTGCCTGTGGCTCCAGTAAGCCTCTAGAGCTTTGCAGGCTCAGGGCAGTACCTGGAGCCATGGTGGGGTAGAGCCCTGCCCCAGGGGCCTGAAGACTTTACAGTTGGCTCCTGCTGCGGCCATTTCTTAGCTGAGTGACTTTCAGCAAATGACCCAAACCCTGAGGGCCGCTGTTTTGGCTTTCCAGCAAATGTCAGGAATGATCTTAGTTGGGATCAAGTCATGTTTCAGTGCTGCGGACCACAGGCTCCATCTGGGCTCTGTGTCTCTGTAGGTCGCTAATCCTCCCTTAACTCAAACCAAGGTCCCAGAGAACAGGTCCTGTGAAGACCCTTTGGGCCTCCCTCTGGTGAGAAAGGATTGGAGAGAGGGTCAGAGGGCACATAGGAGAAAGAGACCAAGAAAAGAAACACGAACTCAGGAAGTAACCAGGAAGGTATAAGGCACACATAGGAAAACTTGGCTTGCAGCCTTGGCTTTGTCATGACTTGCTGTGAGACCTTTGGCAAGTCCTCCAGTGAAGCCTTAGTTTCTCAACTCCAAGGTTCTCTCCAGCACTAACCTTGACTGATTTCTAGCCTTAGACTAGATTTCATGATACCAACTTAACTACTTAAGTACAAAAGACTAGTCCAGATCCTGTGGGTGGTGACTTGGGATAAGGAGGTCAAGTCAGCAGTAGCAATGGAAGGGTAGGGGTGGCTAGACGGCTGTCCTATTCCTCAGGGTCTGGCCTGAGCTAGATTTGGAAGATGGGAAGTCAACAGACTGGCCAAGATGCGGTGGAGATGGCCCTGCCAGGCAGTCAGGGAGAAGCTGGAGTTCTTGGTGACTTGCTGTCTAAAGGAAGCTCCTTTCACCCTTCAATTTCCACTGCTGTTGAATGGCACCTGTCTTACTCTGTTCAGGCTGCCATAACACAATACCATAGACTGGATGGCTTATAAACAGAAATTTCTCAGAGTTCTAGAAGCAGGTAGTACAAGATCAAGACTCTGGCAGATTTGGTGTCTGGTGAGGGCCCACTTCCTGGTTCATAGACAGCCATCTTCTCGCTGTGTCCTCATACCAGAAGGCATCAGGGATTTCCCTGGGGTCTCTTTTGTAAGGGTACTAATTCCATTCATGAGGGTGGAGCCTGCATGACTTAATCACTTCCCAACAGCCCTATCTCCAAATACCATCACATTCAGGATTAGGGTTCAACATACAAATGGGGAGCAGGGGTGGGGGGGCACATTCAATCTATAGCAGAGTCCCCATCATTAATTATCTGCCTGCCCCTTCCGACAGCTATGAGGAGAGTCTGTGGGGCAGGTAGACTTACATGAAAGGGCCATGAGAGGGATGATGAAAAAAACCTCTTAATTCAAGAGCATTATCCCTGCAACAAGTTGTAAAAATAGATGTTGGTTACCTGAAATTGTCTTCCAGATGCAGATCTGGGATGTGCTTTGCTCCCTGGACCACCTTGAAAGCATTCCCGAGGTTGGTTTCCATCTTTCCCACCAGGGGTGGAGAGGCAAGGGGAAGGCCAAGTCAGGCAGCAGGCATGACACAGACATGCTCTCATCACGTAGCCCCTTGTGCATGACCAAGGCTGACCACGAACTTGGTTAGGAATGTTAATGCTGCTGGAGTGACGCAGGGTGACTGGTGCCAAGAGGCAGCACCAACTACTGTCTTGCCAATGGGTTTCAGCCCCAGACAAGTTCGCTATGGATGCAATGTGACCAAAGAAAATGGTAGGAAACGTTCTTTGGGGTGAAAGGGTTTATTACCTGGCTTGTTCTCCCGGCAGTAGGTCAAGCACTAGCATCTCTGCCTCCACCCGGAGCACTGGGCCGAGCTCTCTATATAGTGCAATAATAGCTTAATGCCCAAAGGTGTGGAATTGGTAGCCTAGCAACAGGCCAGTTACATCATCAGGTGGTTTAAGTTCAGTGAGGATCCTGGCCATAGGAACCCCAACTTCCCCACATAAACATAAAACAAAAGAGTAAACTGCACTTTAATAAAATTTAATTACTTCTGTTTATCCAAAGATGACTTTAAGACAGAGCTGAAACAATCCAATGGCTGAGAAGATAAACCAGCACTTAAACAAGCAATCAGGTGAGAAGAAATACTGGCAGTACATGTATCTAATGAAGGACTCTTATCCAGAATATATTTTTATTAAAAAGTGCTACATATCAGTAAGAAAAAGGCAGACAGCTCAAGTTTTTAAATTGACAAAGGATGTGGAAAAGCCCTTTACAAAAGAAGATACACAACTGGACAAAAATCTTATAAAAAAATTCGCATTCAACTTCATTTGTCATCACAGAAACACAAATTAAAAATACACTCTGTTATCACTGCACCCAACCACAATGACCAAAAGTGGAAAAAAAACCCTGTTGTGATAGATTGCATTAATTGCTTCAATTCTTCATCTCTCAATGGATCCTTGCTCTTTGCCATGGGACTCTGTAATTCCTCCCAAGAAATTTGTGGAGTATATTTCTCCATATCTGAACTTTGGGTTTGCCCTTATATATGACTTGTTCTGGCCAATAAAACAAATCAGAAGTAAGTATGTGTCATTTTCAAGCCTAAGCCTTGGGTGTTGCTGCTAGCCCTCATGTATTTTTTGACACCACTGGCATAAACAGAACTTCCCTTGTGTAAGTGCTGCTTATCCAGTCTGGTCTATGCCCCTGAATAAATGCATGCAGAATAGAGCACAGTAAAGAGTCAACCCCAGGCTGAATCACTGTTTAGAGGAGAGCCACCCAGGAGAACCTAATCTCTATCAGTTGATCCCAGGCCCACCAACACCTGTATAAACAAAAACAAATAATTGCTGTTTTAAGCTGCTGAGTTTTGCGATGGTTTGTTTTGCAAAAATAGCTGTCAACAGCAAGTGTTAGTGAGAAAGTGGAGCAATCAGGATTCTCATATATTCTGATGGTGGGAGTAAAAATTGGTAAATCCACTTAGGCAAACTGCCAGTATCAAATAAAGCTAACCATGTGCTTACCCTTCCACCCAGCAGCAACTCTAGCCCAGATATACAAACATATATGCACCCCAAGACATGCACAAGAGGGATCACAGCAGTACTATTCAAATTGCAACAACAGCAATTTGCCTAATTTAGGTATTTCATTATAAGTAGGCTCACACATTTGTCTTTTTGTGTTTGACTTCTTTCACTTAGCGTAATGTCACGGTTCATCCCTGTTGGAGCATGTGTCAGAACTTCATTCCTTTTTATGGCTAAATAATACTCAAGTGTATGAATACACCATATTTTCCTTTTGAATTCATCTGCTGATGGACACTTAAGTTGTGTAAGGAAAACCTGTCTTCATCTCCTGTGTTTCCCTCCTGTGGGTCTCCTTTACTACTGTCTTGCCAATGGATTTCAGCCCCGGGCAAGTTCACTATGGACTCAATGTGACCAAAGAAAATGACAGCAAACATACCTTGGGGTGAAACGGTTTATTATGTGGCTTGTTCTCCCAGCGGTACATAGGTCAAACACTGATGTCTCTGCCTCTGAGCATAGCGCTGGGCCGAGTTCTCTATATAGCACAGTAACAGCTTATTGCCTAAAGGTGTGGAAGCGGTAGCCTAACAACAGGCCAGTTACCTCATCAGGTGGTTTAAGTTCAGTGAGGATCCTGGCCATAGGAACCCCAACTTCCCCACACCTACTCACTGAGCAGACTTCATGAGAGTT